CTTGCCCTAGACAATCCCCGTAAACTGTGGTGCATTTATATTTGACATAATATGTCTCTACAACAATGAACGATACACTTGTATTGTCAATGTGCACGTCCATGAGTGTTTGCGCGCCTGGCTGTCACACAGCTTCAGTGTCACTGTGTGAACGGAGGGGTCTGTGTCCACAACTTACTGGGCCAGCGTCCCCGCTGTTCTGATGCCCCGAGTCAAATAAGCAAGCTGGGACAGACGGTCTAAGTCACATCTCATTGCCCTTCATTCAAAAAGCTCAGGACCAGGAGGGAAGCAGATTCACACATCTTAACCACACACATCTCAGGCATCACCTCAGCCAAAACAACATCCCTGACACACACACACACACACACACACACAATGTCTGATCAAATTATGAATGAGAGTTACAAAATGCACCCATTTGGTTGCTATTTGTTCCACATCCTAAACTTTGTGTAGCAGCAGGTGCCGAGTTGTCATGAGCACCTGCTCAGCCTGTTTAAACAGTTGTACTGTCTTCTGTGGCTCTGAGGGGGCTTTCCAGAGACTGAAAGAAATAACTACCTATAACTCTCGCAGCTTGGGTTTACAAACTACAAATTTATAACTGAGAGAGAGTGTTATAAAGTGATGGTATGGCGTTTAAAAGATGTGGGCATTTACCAGCCACAGAGAGTCTAATGAGAAAAGCAGCATTACGACAAACATAGGATTCAGCGTGTTTGCAGCTTGAAACATACAAATAACTAAAAGTCTGGATATCTCGGCCTCTTCTGCATCAATTTATCAATTTCAACTTTTTTTTTTTTTTTTTTTTTTAAATCTGTCCCTGAACTTGTTGGAAGTACACTACTGAAGTAATCCTTCAAGTGAGAGACTGAAAAGGCTGCTATCTTGATTTCTAAAATGTTTGACACAGCTTTCTATAATTAAGGCTTTGTGTGCATATTAATGTTGTTTATTGGCTATCTTGGATACACTGTGCAGTGCACAGACATATCTGATTTAGTGAGTAACTGATTATGTGGGTGATGATATTGTTGAAGTGTGTAGCACAGGGATGAAGGGTGGAAATAATGACCTCCTAGCAGTGCAGGGTGTGTGTGTGTGTGTGTGTGTCTTTATGTATGTTACAGTGATGGCTCAAAATGCTGAGTCACTTCACCTGCTGCTTCTTCAGTCAGGGTCCCACAGGGCTCAGACGTGACTCCAATATCTGATGCAATAGGAGCTGTTAAGATTATATGTGTGTTTGATTTAGAGGCGGTCATGTTTCAGCCTTTGTTGAGGTAGTGAGTAAGAACTCCCATCCTTGAATAAGAGATCCACAGTTATGTCACTAAGCAGACACAGATAATACAAAGAGAAGGGCCATTTCAGCCTGAGGCACGATGACACTGCCTTGTTTACATCCCCATTAAGCACCATGGCAGTGCGGCTGGGACGCTGCCGGGCCACGTGTATAGGTTATTTCACAAAAACACCTGAGGCAGCCTTCATTGCCCTCACAAAAAGGATGCTGGCTACCCGCCCAGTGCTCCTTTTTTTCTTTCCCCGGCTCCATTCAACTCACCTCTTCTGCGTGTTTCCTCAGCGCTTTCTCCCGCTCGTACTGGGTGATGAGCTGCTCGTTGTCCTCCTTCAGCAGCTCCAGCTCCACTTCGTGCTCCTGGTTTTCCGCGAACACCGAGTCCAGGTTCTCCAGCACGGCCACGACCAGCGGCATCAGCTCCTTCACCACGTCCTCGTCGTATTTACCAATGAGCCGCTCGAACTCGCGGTAGATGGAGTTGGCCAGGCCCGACACCCGCTCAGACATCATCGCTGATGTCCCCGGGTCGTCCTGGTACACAACTCCGTCTTCCAGCTCCATTTTAGCCCTCTCCCTTTCAGCAAACAAGGACCAACGCGGGCTATTCCGCCTTACCCCGCCACTATGAGCACTGTTATCCGCTTAATTGAAAGCAGCGTTTCTTCAAATAAACGTACACATTGAGGACATTACAGGGCTGGACTATTACGACGCAAGACAGGCTACGTGGATATCTTCCTCCTTTTCCCTCACTTGTCCCATGCTGCCTTCAAGTGCTCTTCCAAAACTGCTACTTTCCAGATTCACTACGGTTTATTAAGTCAGGTTATTTAGTTTTTTTTAATTAAATATAACATTTTACTCAGCTAAGTAAAAAAAATAAGATAATTACGGCGGCGTACAACATGGCATTTTGCTCAGGAAGATTCACGAGCTGACATGTCCCATTAGTCACCGTTTCTTTTCATCCAGGTGGCCTTGATTCCTACATTTACGGCGGTACTTGGAGGCACCATCACAACAGCTGAGTTTCTGACCAGATCACGTGGTGACGTCACATCATGCGAACAACGTAAGATTATTTGCAGAGAAACACTGTATTGTACACTCATTGTACAGTCTGAATTATTTTCAAGCGCAGTAAGAGTAAAAATAAATAATTTCCTGAGATGACTTATGCCAAGAACCGGAAAACATTTTCACATTTGGTGAATGAAAATACTTTGATTTCATACGTCGTTCTTTCTAATATATGAGACAGGGCACCCCCTTACCGTGAAGTTTATTATAGCTTTATTACACATTTCATTGTTATTAGCAAGCGCCTCCAATTACGCTCTGCCACGCCCTCTGATGGACAGAGATGAAATTACTGCTGCAAACACTTCAAGCCTCAGCTCAGTTTGGGGATTTTTTTTGAAAAAGTGTTATTGCAATACCACTGTATCACATAATATTTGTAAAAACCACAAGACTGTTTTGAAAAATATAGCAAAGTGAAGGAAAATACCTCAACACGGGATTTAACTGGACAGCAGTGCTGTAGCACAATGATTCACTATGTACCAGGTCCAAATATTCAAATAAAAAATACTACAGGAACAACATGTAGGCTATTTGTAACCAGAAGTCTAAAAGGTTTTAATGTTCAACCACATTCAGTACAGTTTTAGCCATTTAATTAAACATCATGTATGTGTTTTGATACTGTTAATCACCAGATTCATGGCTACTGAGAGACAACAGCAGAATTTACCACCTGATTCAACAAGCTAACAATATAATGATCCAAACATTCGAAGTGCACAGTGAGAGGGATACAAGCCTGCTTCGTGCCCATGTAGATTTTTATTGCATCTGATGTACAGCCTATTCATACTTTATTCAGCAAGGTAACAGGTTATAAGATATGTTCTAGCAGTATATTGCATTATAGCTAGCACATAAAACCCAAAAGTCGAAATTGCCACTTTATAGCATTAGCATGCACATTACTGTTTGCTATGGAACATCTATATGGAACATCCAAAGTGTCAGAACTGAATGAAAGAATAAATAAATGGGGAAATATATGTAAGAAAGAATGAATGAATAAAAGAATAAATTAAAAAAATGCGGAAATATATCAAAGAATGAATGAATAAAATAATAAATACATACATTTGCTTTTGCCTTTCCCCAAGGAGACCTATTGTCATTGCTTTTCCCTTAGAGACCTTATTCCATTGCTTTTTCCTTCCTCTTCCTTAACTGTCAATCAAGGTGTTGTGGCCCGCCCACTAAGTCCAACTAATCACTCAGAAGTATTTCTCTCCATGATCAGAGTTGTATAAAGGTCTGATCCACCAGTTGGTGGCGGTAACGCACCAATTCGTTGTTTGCCAACTGACAAAATCACAAGGAAGAAGAAGGAGGAAGAATCTAACGTTAGACAGAACCAGCACATGTCAATGTGATCTAAATGCAGAAGTACATTTACTGGCGATAACTGTAAGAGAGAGGCAGAGGAAGAGGGCGGAGAGGCAGTGGTGTTGGAGGTGCAGTCAGGGCAAGGAGAGGCAGAGGACATACCTGGAGTGATGGCTCAACAGAGGACGAAAGAGTGGAAGCCCTCCAAAGAACCAGAGAGCTGTTACCGAGGTTTGTATTTATAAGGTTGTTGTAATGTTATATTCTGACCTGTTTGCACTTTATGACAAACCCCAGCACACAGTGATAACGTTATTTACATAGCAGCTCTGTGCACATGTACCCCTTGTACTGTAACATTAGATAGTAACATTTACTGGGCAACAATGATTATATGAAGCCATATTATACAAGTTGAGCAAACACTGGGCAGCCTGCAAACCCTAATATGCAGTACCATGTTGCCAACATAATGTCATGCAACTTATAAAGCCTTATTTTATCAGAATCACAAATTTTTTTGATACCCAAGGGGAAATTCTTGGTCACAATTGCTAAGCTTGCATATCAATTAAATATAAAATCTAAATAAAGGTAATGTGGACATGTAAAGTAATTTACAGCATCAACAGAAGTGTAATGATAAATAGTGAATTAAATAATAATGAGTACTGGTATATTTCATTTGGAACAGATACAATCTTAAAAACATTGAGCCAGAGTAACCAGAGTATTGAAGCAGAGAATATTGCATATTGAGTATTTTTCCCTGTGTCCTCTTTCTTCAGACTTCAGGAGATGACCCTTGAAGAACACAGAGCTCTCCACCCTTCTGCTAGAGAGGCAGCCAGGCCTGGTCTTTGATGCCTTGATGATGCGTCAGCGCAGACATGGTGCCCCACCTTCTGTCGGAGTGCAAGGAGTACCTTGGTGTACTTGTGGTAACTGTAGGGAAATGCTGTTGCCAGGAGCAAGTGAACTGTGTGAGCCTACTGCCACACTTCTCCCAGTACTGCCTTGAAGGCTTTATTCACATTTATCCTCAAGGACACTACACCAGTTTTATTCCTGACTGAATTTCCCTCCATGCCCTCTGGCATGATCATAGTTTCACACAAATACTCACAAACCTGCCTCAGCATCAAACAAATGTTTGTTAACATTTGATTTATTATTTCTATATATTCATATTTCTCCCCTCTTTATTTAAATTTGATGTATATTGTAGTTATATAGTGTTAGTTGTTCAACTGCAGTTCTTTGATATAAAAAAAAATAATAGAAGCACATGGTGTTTATTTTCATTATACACATTTGTACATGTGTTTAGAATTTCAACCTTTGCCATAACATTTCCAATTCTAGTTATATTTACATAGAGGACAGCTGTAGCCTTACTTATCATTACTGTTCAAATTGTAAACTGTAATTTAGGCTACCTACTGAAAATAATGTGCTGGTCACAGTGTACTTAGCAGAATAAGATGAAATGTGTATAAATTGGAAAAACATGAAATAGCCACTGGAGGAGGGTAGGAACAAAATTTAATGTAAATAAAAAAAAATTTTTAAAGTAAAAAGCTATGACTTTGTCAGTGAACTGAAGTTTTTTCCCTTGTGATGCTGCCTGACAAGTACCAGGAAACATGCAATGTGATCGCCTATGGGGGTCCTTCCACATCAGATGCTGGTTGGAATAACTGTCCTATTGAAGACCGTGCCATCAAACAGTTACAGACTATATTGTAATGTAAATATTGTTCAGGGACATGTAATATGGTACAATATAGGCAACAAATGTGTAATTTACCTAGACCTCTTCTGACTGATGTGGCTGGTGCAGGGGGCACCAAACCAAGCTGTCTGGGGTCATCTGGGAGAAGGCTCCTCCTTCTAGGCATCCCCACTCCACTTGTGAGTGTTCTTCACAATCCTTTGCAATGTATCGTAGGTTTTTCATATTTCAAGGCATATACGCTGCATCTTCTACCGTCTTATACAATCTTTTGAAACTGAAATTACACAAATTACAACCATTTAATATCAGTTTGTAAGTAGAACAAGAGAAAACCTTGTGTAAAGACAATCAATTGCATATAAATCTCTGTGTGTAGAGGTGAAAATGTAAATGTTCAACCCCCCCAAAAAAGAAAACACTAAATGACTTCACCAAATGTCTAGAATGAGTAACACATCTTCTGGCAGAGGAAAGTAAACAAAATCTGTCTTTGAGTGCAATGAAACCTTCCATACTGTCATCCATCAACTGCACATAGTTCAATAACTCTTATGTACAGAATAGTAACTTTATGGTTAAATGTGTCACAACATTAGCCAGTTATTACACTTACTGCTGCTATTTTTGTGTCAAGGTTCTTCGCACCATGCCATTTCCAGACTGATGAATTCCAAGGGCCTTGCATTTGCCTTTTTCTGGGTCTATGAAGTGGTAAATAATGTCATGTAACTATAATATTTATATTTGTTACAGGTGGTGTGGGGACAGAACCCAAATGCAGCACTCAGAGCGAAGGAGGTTTGAGGGAAAAGGGGTTGAGGGACCTGCGATGGACTGGCAACCTGTCCAGGGTGTACCCCGCCTTGCACCCGATGTCAGCTGGGATTGGCTCCAGCCCCCCCGTGACCCTGTACGCATTATAAGCGGTTGACGATGGATGGGTGGGTTGAGGGACTGGAGGGAGAGGTGGATGCTAGGGAAACACTGGCACAGGAAAACCGACGAGACTGGGACCAGGGAGCCAGGGAACACTGGGGCCGAGGAAGCGAGGAGGCGAGAGGGGAACTGGGAGGACGCCGTGGGGAAGTCCGGGGAGGAGAGGACCAGAGGATGAGCCCAGCCGACTGAACGGAGGACGAGGGTGAGTGAACTTGGGAGGGAAACAGACAAGGTTAGTGACTGCAAAGAAAGCACAAGAAAATTGGTAGAAAACAGAATACATGCGAGCTTGAATGTAGAGGTGGCACCGGGTAAGGAACAATGACGATCAAGCAAGAATGGTGTGGAGAACCGGGGTTAAAATACAGGCAGGAATGAGGTTGACTACTGGCAGGTGTGGCAGGCTGACGAGGTGGCTGATGAGGTGCAGGTGCAGGTTGTAAGCTGGGCTCAGGAGCGGAGAGAGAGAGAGAGAGAGAGAGAGAGAGAGCACACACAGGGGAGGAGACACAGGGAGGCAGGCAGAGAACAGAGAAAACCAAGGAAAAAGCAGAATAACTGATGAAAAGGAGAAAAACAAGGACACTCACATTCAGTCGGGCTGCCACCACAACAATATAGCTGTTATACACATGCATTCATACAATATATCACATGAATACTTACTCATAAGGGCATAAGCTTGTCCAGTCTGGATGAAACCCTCCTTCTCCAAGACAACAGAGTTCCATGATGTTTGCCACTTGTCTATTGTAGCAACATGAATGATCTCCTTGGTGTAATTCTCCATGGTGGTGTAGCTGCAGCATTGTGCACAGTGACCAGGAGAGATCATTTCTGCCATCCGTTGAAATTTTTAAAAATATAATACAACAGAAAAACAGTTGTTTCCATTACTGCTTAGTGTATTCAATAGATATGTTATATAATACAGTATCAACTACACACCTAGGACAACAACATCTTTCCCTTGAAGAAGACAAAGAACCTCTGTCCTTCTCTCTTCCCAGAAGTCCTTTATTGTATTGACGCAGTAAGTGTCCTGAATGGAGAAGGTGTTCCTGTTCACCATCCCCATGTTCATGAATTTGAACAAGAGGGCAACCTTTGCGTAGTTGTTGCCAAACAACAAAATGTTGGCGGACAAGAGAAAATCTCCAGCTTTCATCCCAAACTTCATCAAAGGCTGGGAATTCCACCTCCATAAGCTGTGTCCATTATATCTAAAAGTTCCACAGAAGAAACATTTGCTTTTGTCATGTCAAGGGCTTTTGTTATAACATTTATTTTTTATACTAATTTAAATTTGTGATATTCTGTGATTGTCTGGACTGTAGCTGCTGTACCCTTGGTGGTGATGTTGATCTCAAAGGGTGCAACAGAGTTGCACGGCGCACCAGTCCTCAGAAGGCCAGTGCATTTATCCACAGGCAGGATCAGAAATGTAGCCAGTTGTCTTAAGCAGTTATCGTACACCATGGAGGCTCTGACACCTATGATGTCATCTTCACATAGGACATTCTGTGGTTCTACGAAAAAAGGGCCATGATCAAAAAGATCAGAAAGTTTAGCTGGCTAAAATGAGCTGTTATGCTGTAGGCTAGCTAATACTAATCAGCTGATTGTCTCACGGACGCACATTTATCCCCACATAGCAAAGCCATAACACAGCGAGGGAGAAGAACCACATGAAACTATCCAACTACATATTTTACACCACTGACAAGGGAAAAGTCAATTCTCACGGTGTCTATGGATAGCTTCTCACTAATGCTAACATTATCAAACAACAGTTTTCAGAATCAGAATCAGAATCAGTTTTATTGCCATGTATGTGTACACATACAAGGATGACGATTTGACTCAGGATTGTACATTGCTCATGATGTGCTTACTTATACAATAATAAAATAATAATATAATAATAAAATAAAATCTGACACAAACTACAGAATAGACAACACTAATAAACACACTATGAACAAAACAATATAGACATATTGACAAATAGTGCAGTAATCAGAGTGCAAAGGATGCAAGAGTAAACTATTCTCATTCATTTGCAATGCTAAAGTTGGAATACCTTACCTGTCCAGCAGAAAACTGGCAACTTCGGCGTCGCTTTGAAAACATTTTCCCCTCATTAGACCATTCTATCTGGGAAAAGCCACACCGATGTTTACCCATGATTTCTGCCTGCGTCACTCCCGTTATAAGTCTGGCTTCATCATGCTTTCGCTTCTTCGATGCAGATTCACCCTCCGTCGGTTCTTGTGCGAAATAATAGCTGTGGTCCTCCATTTGTCCAAAATTCCACTACTAATAAAGGAGAGCTTCTACTACTACCTAGTAGTTAGAAAAGTACAACTTCTTCTTGCTCTTGCTCCTACTTCTTCTGCTGCTACTTCTTCTGTTACTTCTCTTTCAGGTTAGAGACAAAATGCACTCTGTAGTGCTGTTTGTTCGCTGTAGGCTACGGTAGAAACATGATGACACAATATGTCAACCTCCACAGCAGGGGGTGCCTCCTGTATGTAGATATAAATAGCTCATTCTAAGGTAATAAAAACATAAGGGTTCATTATGCAATGTCTTTATACACCAGTGAAAACATAGTTATGGATATTTATTGCATTCCTGTCAATAGATCCTCATAAATATTACATGCTGAACCTTTAACTAGTAACTATAGGCTATTTATGTTGTATTAAGTTGTTGCAGTTAAACTACCATCCTTTAATTAACACCTAAAACACTGCTGAGGGTGCAACTGTGTGTACACATTGTCACAGTTACCATGGTTTTTGTTCACTTTAGGTCTCATGCAACACCATGCACCTGGAACACTTTGATGTGGGAATCTGAAGTTTCAACTGGGGAATATCCCAGTTCCGACCAGTCTTGAACGCAGCATAACTCCTTCTAAACTTTCTATCAATCATAACACTCTTCCAGGGACAGCATATCCACACTGAAGATAGTATCGGTCATCGGCTGCTCGACCTGACTTAGTGGGCGGGCCACAACACGTTGATTGACAGTTAAGGAAGAGGAAGGAAAAGCAATACACATAGGTCTCTAAGGAAAAAGCAATGACAATGAACACTAACGAACCAGCAGTATCGATGACCCGGGATAACGACCCCACTGAGGTTAAATAGCTGAGTTTCCCTGCCAGTCAGTCAGAACTGAAGAAGTCCTTTGGATAAGGGACGAAACGTCTTCCAGTAGCTTCTACCAAGTCCAGTTGCCCTTCATTTTAACCTTCGTTGGATAACTATGACCTGGATGACTGAGAATCTTCATAGACACAATGACAATAGGTCTCCTTGGGGAAAGGCTAAAGCAAA